CCCCAAAACCCCAAAACCCCAAAACCCCAAAACCCCAAAACCCCTTATTTTACATTCAATTTAAATTTAAAATGGATTATAAAGAGACAACTCCCAGAATGGAGAACTCTACTTGTGAAAGTCAGTACACTGAGAGACCAGAGATCTTGCCGTTTTATAAGAGGTTCAAACGGATGAACAAAGACCGTAGTTATAGTTTGTTGGAGGAAGATTCCTCGTGAGAAATAGTTAGTGGGCGTGAAGGAGGAGTTTGCTCAGGTCTGCAGAATGACCTTCATCGTCCTTGACAAGATGCTTCAGAAACTCTTTCAGTCCGGGTAAGTTTAGTAAGCGATGTATAGAAACATAATCCTAACTGGGACTCTAGTTCTAGTTCAAGCTCAGATTCTCGAACTAGAAAGCCCCAGAAAGGTAAGATTAATTATGATTATAAATAGAAAGTCAGCCAAAGTCCGTTGATAAGCCAATCTTTGTAAATGATGTATGTACACAAAGTTAAATTTTTTGAAAATTTCTGGACATTTTACAGTTTATGCTTCTCCTCATCTTCATTTTGACAAGAAAACTGTAAACTTTCTTTACTATTATAATTTGATGGAGTGACCTTTACCTCTTTAGTCAGAAGAAAGCTTTGATATGAGAATCGATACAGAAGAAGAAATAGAGGCTGAAACTCGTGCAAAAATTGGAAGGTTTACAGAAGCTTTTACCTACAAAAACAACCAGTATAAATCGGTAAGAGCTTAAATCATTTCAATAGGATGAAAATATTGACACAGATAGAGACATTATGGCAGAAGTAGTCCAGAAACGATATATGGACAACCTAAACATCACAATTCAGAAAGATGATATAATAGGAAACCCAGACCAGACAATTCCCCTTGATGACAACATTGTTACTAAGCAGAGTCAATATGTACCGGATAGATTTAGCAGTCTCATAACAGCTATCAGTACTTCGCTTTCCTTATCTCTAGGTCAAGATTTGAACATCCCAGAGGACCAGGCAAAGCAATATCTTATGCTTGGTAAGAGGCCTCATAAGAAGAAAAAGAAGTTGTACAAGTACTTTAGGACAATCCAGGGAGACACGATCTCATCTCTTCTTAAGACATATAACCCTAAGAGAAAGAGTAAGCATCATATTCCAAAGTCCTGTAAGAGAAGAGGGTGCTCTCCTCAGTCTAGGCGAAAGAGGTCCCATAGCAAAAAGAGAAAGAAGCTCAAGAATTGTAGCTTGAGACCAAAGACCATCTCTAGTGTTCTACGGGAAAAACCCTATCAGATGAACAACTCTGCTAACTTCGATAAAGGAAATGGTAAAGAACCTTGGAAAGATATTTTTGGGCCCTGGCTACAGCTCTGAAAATGTGCATTTTTGGTTGCCAATTCTTGCCTTGGAATGCTGCAAATGGGTCTGGGCTTAAGCACATAAAAATTAGACATAACTTTACATAGAGCTGGGTTCAGACTCCCTTAACAGATTGAGTCATTCATTAAATCCAAGGTAAGCCCTCTTTAAGGAAAGTTGTGTCTGAAGTAGTAAATCGAGTAGGCTTTTGAGTTACCTAAGGTACCTTTAAATTAGGCTTCCAAACTACCTTTGAGAGCAGCTTAGAAGTTTAGTCATTCTTGAATTTATGACATTAGGTTGGATCTCTTCAGAATTTGATTTACATGATCTTAATGCTCATATTTTGAAATAAAAATTCATGATAACATTAGAATTTGCTGACTCTCAAATTTAAATAGTTTCTCGAAAGTTAAAGGAAGATGCTTACAAATAATTCCTAAATCTCTTCTTTCTGGGATCATCTTAAAATATTAATGCTATATCAAGTAAATAATTAAGAGTATTCTTAAAGTAGAGTGTAATGGGTTTATTCATTGCTAATTTCTAAAATTTCGTACAAATAACCTAAAATCAAGGACAGTTCCCTCACCTGGTCTCTATAGAGTAAAACCTTGGACTCAGTTGCCAAGTCAAAGAGAACAACTAGTGAATAGCTCTTGCCTTAAATAACTATACACTGAACAACCACACTAGAATTAACAGTGGGAACCTCCAGACTCTCTGTACGTAGCCTTCAGCCCTAATATCTAGGCCAAGACCAGTTGCATCACAAGAAAGAGGGAGGCACTAAGTCAATAAGAGTTTCTAATGAGAAGGTGACACTGAGTAACTATGCAAACGACAAAGAGAATATGCACAATAATTACTCAAGCTTGGAAGCATACTCAAATTATGACCGTGACTCACAGCCTGTGCACCTAAAGATCTCAAATAATATGGTTCAGGACTTCAATTCGACTGGGAAAATCCAGATTTATCCTAAGACACTATCGGCCAAGGCTCAGGTAATACCCCTCTGATCTTTAGAAGTTGAAGAAAAGAAGGAAAAGTACTAAGGCCAACTCTCAGTACAGGAAACATCCTTCTTCAGACTGGATTGACTACAAGACTTATAAGAAGAACCGTAAGTTTGGAAGTTAAGTTATAGGTGAACTTAAGAAAAACAGGAAGTTACAAAAGACACAAGGCTGGAACAAAATTTCCTTAAGAAGTTAATTTCAATTTTTTATACTTTAACCGGGGTTTTGGGGTTTTGGGGTTTTGGGGTTTTGGGG